TCTAATTCACACAGCAATGAACTGCTGCAACTCTCAATTTTGCTTTTTGACAGGGTTATGTGTATAGCTTGTGGTCTACCTGGACAATTACTGTGGTTCACACCCAACACACCTTTGTCAATGCTATGTTCTTCCCATAGGATTCTTGAGGACAGCCTAATGAGTTATGCTGGTGACAGTGGATGTAAAGCCCAACATCCAGGCACACGAAGGGAGAGGGAAGAAAGTAATTGAGAATTTGGAAGGGAACTCTCCCTAAAGAACATGGAGCAGCTGAACACTTTTCAGCTTGTCTTGGTATTGTGTTGAGAATGTTCGTTTCTCCCTGGTTCCAGTTGCCTCCAGAAGCACTTTTACACTTGCTTGGTTCCTGTTGAGACTAAAGCTATCAGACACTTAACCAAACAACAGACATTATTTTCCTTGAGTTTTAGAGTGGATTTTTTGGTTTTCTGAATCTGTGGTTTTTAATCCCTTAAGCTGCTTTGAGTAAGGGAGAGAACAGGTAACAAACAGAACTTAAGTTCAGTAATTTTTTTTTCCTGATGTCTGGCTTTTCTTTTGGTGCTAATACTATTGTTTTGAGATAAAAACAGCACCATTATCCAACTGAAAAATCAGCAGACACCCTTGCTCCTTGTAGGGTGATACAGTGCAATCATCTTTGTGTTGTCAAATACAAAGCAGAGCCTGCTGCTCCTGCAAGTTATTCATCTGAACTAATACGTGCAAGGAGGGAGATGCTAATGCCACTGTGCACACTGGTGGTGCTTGTCTGCCTAACAAGTGATGTAATTCACTGCATTTTTTGTATTTCTTCTCTTCCCATACACCAGCCAGCCTTATTCTAATTATAACAATATATGCAGCTAGACATGCTTTTCTTGCTTATTTTATACTTTGCATGCCTTTCTGTCCTAAATCTCCCTTCTTGTGGCATTTTTTCTCAATTACATCCACATGTTGGACATTATCTGAATAAAAACTGTAGCAACTATAGGGTGGCCCAGAAAAAAACCCCAAAATTTGCCAAACAGTGGTATTCACATGGTTTATGGTCAAGTTTTGAAGAAGGTGAACAATCAAATTCAGTCTTAGTCCTTTCTGGATTTGCCAAACAGCTCTCTAGTCTTGAGTGTACATTTGCAACATTTGCAACAAAATTTCAAAGGTTTTTTTTAAATTCTATTTTGATGAAGGAAGATTAAAAAAAAACTTTAAATGTATCAGAACTTACTGTTAGACATGAGGCCACTTTGTCTTGCCTAGTTTTGAGTAATATGCATTGCTTGTAGGTGCTATTAGCATATTTTCCACAATTCAGTTCTTTAGGTGTTTTTCCATTTCATTAATCCATTTCAGAATTGCTTCTATTAACTTTTAGTAACAGCTGATGGTCACTACATATTTCAAAAAGCCAGAACCACAGCAGCATTCATTCAGTGACATATTCACACTTCTTCCATATATCACCCTTCTCATATGTAGCATATTACTCCAATCGACTGTTTTCAAGGCCAAGCCTTGAAAATGTGAACATTCAATACAATGGTTTTCTTTGTTTAAAAAAAAATATACTCTGGATAGCAGCTAGATTTTAGTGTTGGAAACCACCAACTCCCAGAGCGAACATTACTGTTATTTTACTCCCCTGGTACCCCTACATATTTGTATAAATATTTGCTAGTTGCTTTTTCTTGAGACCATAGGAACTCTGGAACAAGAACTGCATCATGGCAGTTTGTCTCATGAAAAGCAAGACTAGGTGCTACAATACTACTAATATTTCCTAGCAATTTTAGTCATGGGATTTTTCTATACATATAGGTTTTCTTTCCTGGTTTGTAATTTTATTACAAGTGACAAAAAAAGGCTGGGGAAAACAAACAAATAATAGACAAAACACTGAAGAGTTTCACCATCCTTAACTAGGACTAAAAAAGAAAATCAACAGGAGTCACTTGTTCAAAAACAGTCATAGCAATAATCTCAAAATTGGAAACACTGCTCTTACTAAAATTTCAAATTATTTTTCCAATATTACTTTTTAAAAAACAAAATAAAAAATTCTTGACAGCATTTTTAATTAAATCTGATTTAGATGTGTAATATGTATTTTTCTAGAATCTTTCAAAATTATGCTTTCCAATTAGTGATTTCTGTTTTGACTCACTGGGTTCTTCCAATGAAAATTTTGATAAAAAATTCCTAAGCACAAGTAAAAAATTATTTTTCAAAACATGCTTTTGTCTTCCTGACAGCATCCTCCATGTGGAAGTAGGAACTCAAAATTAACAGAAGGTGTATGTATGCGGAGGAGGTGGGAAGTTTAGGAAGAGTGCTCCAAATGCCAGATCTATCATCTGTATTATTAATATGTCAGATCTGGTGCACATGAAGATGAGGGTATGAATTTGATGGCATTTCTGTGCAGTGAATACCTCTCATGATGTATGATTCTGAGGTGGTGTTGAAAGTGTGATGAGGTGTTCATTTAAGACAGAAGAAATGTCCTGAGTAAGAAGAGAAATGGGATCCTGAACTGTGACAGCCCCATGCAGGGGAGGGAGGAAAGCATTGATTTACTACATTTTTAATAAATAGCAGTGTGAAGCTAAAAATAAAAACAGCAAGGAGAAGAGTGCAGCTTTAATGAAGAGACCGAGAATGTGTCAGCTCAGGAAGCTCCAAGGCCAAGCTAGCTCTAGGAGACAGGGCTGCCTGTCTTGGCTTCTCTCTAAGTAAAGGTCCACTCTGGCCATGCACAATGGCTGAGTTGGAGCCTGGCCTTCCATGAGAAAGATATCTGTCCAAGAAATCCTAAAAAGACTAGGAAAAGAGACTGATGTCAGATATAAATTCAAAGTATTTTTCTTTTGTAATTTGGTTTCCCAGTTCTGTAACCAGAGAATTACTGCATGATTTGGATGTTACCCCCAAAATGCAGATGAGCATAACTGCCTGCAAAGCCATAAAAAAATCTGGCTATTTAGCACCCATTTCCCAGCACACTGTACAGCTCACTTTGGAGGCTGGCCATGGTGTATTAGGACAGAGAAGGAATGCCTCAGTTAATGCACTTGAGCTAAAAACCCCTCCAGGAGCAAATAGAAGGTGGAAACATATCGTGTAGTTTTATGTGTGGGCAACCACATATTATTACTATCTCCTTGGCTCTTATTTTTTTGATCTACACATTAAGGTCTCATGAAAACCTAAGTGTGAGGAAAAAGTCCTTTATTGCCATCCTAGGGTCAGTTGATAGTTTTCACTGTTAGCTGCCCAGACAAATGCCCAAGAGCAGCTGAATGAGGTGGTGGCAGTTGAAGGAACTGTAGCATCTCAGTGAAACAGATAAATGCATCTCACCTAATATTTTGTGTCACTACCGCTCCTGTGCGGGTCTTTCCATGTCCACTTGATGCCCTGTAACTGGGCCCTCGCTGTACTGCTATTAGCAGAGCGAAACGTTGGTGGGAATGATTTATTCATCTGTGGCTACTGATCTACCCAAGAAGGGCCTTTGTGTCCTAATTTTTTTTTTTCCTTGAGTGTCATGAGGCAAAAAACCAGCACGCCAAAGGCAGTGCTTATCAATCACTTCACTAGGAACATGACCATACTCCAAAACACATATCAATTATTACAAAACCATCACATGCACAAACACACTCCTCTACCTCACCTACTCCAGAAAAACTCACATACTGGCATCTCTTGCCTTTTCCCCTCCAGCTTTGTTTACATCCTCTGAGATTTACATTCCTTCTTTAGTCCATGCAAAGGAAAAGATATTCCTGGCATCTGTGTGTGCATTACCATGGTTACCTAGTTCATCTGCAGCAAAATAGGTTGGTCCATGACCTGACACGGCAGCTCCAGAAGCACACTCCTCCCTTGTCCACTGCTTTTCAACCTCTCCCACTGCAGTTTTTTTTTCCTCCAGAAAATCTGATTGCAAGCAACAGTGAGGCACCAAACAAACTCTCCTAAAGTCTTCACCAATTTCTTTGCCTGTATAGTTTGTGTCTAAGAGGTATTTTTGGCAGGCCTGGTCCATGATTTTCAAGCAATTTTTTCAGGAAGCCATCATCAATAGCATACCTGCAGATTCTACCCACTACATTTTGAGGACACAGTATTACACTTGAAAATTCAGTCCTAAAAGCATGCCAACAAGAACACCTGTGATTACACAACAACCTGGGTCTGTCAAGGAAGAACAAAGGTTTGGGGCACAAAGAAAAGGACTATGAATTCTTAAACGACAGTCTCAGGTGGGTAGGGAACACAAGCAGCTTCCTTCCACAAAAGCAGCTTGGCTTTCTTTGGCATCACAAATTTTTTCAGTACAAGTTGAATAAACTGTCATCTACTGAGATATTAGCAAGCCAGGCATCAAACCTAAATAAGGTCTCAATATCAAATTAGGTATAAACAACAAAATATTGATAAAATATAATGAAGACAGAATTGAATCGAGGCAGAAGGCATATGTTTCTCCACAACTGGCTCAAATTTTCACTGAAACAAAACTTACCAACTTCATTTTTTTAAGCAACATCAGGGTTTTTTTCCAGACAATATTTATAACAAAATATATACATAAGCGACTATGAAGAATCCCATCTCACATCATTCATCTATTCCCATAGTTTATGTTTCTAATATTCATACCAAATTTGACTTAAATAAACTTAAAGCAATGATGTAATCTCTGGAAATGGTACACTGAATATGTGTACCACACAATATCAAGGCAAACACAGATGTATCTTGTGGTGATTCTGAAAACACAAATACCGATGAATCTCTGCAAAGAAAGCTAAAGCTGGCAAAATTCAAAATGGCTTTGTAGTCATACAGTTATGCAAAATAAAGTTGTGAAGTTCTCTAGACTTAACACAGCTGAAACAGTAAGCAATTTGTTTGCATCTGAACAGCAAAAAAGATCAAATAAAAAAAAAATCTACACAAAAATGGCCAACTCATACACTTACCTTTTCCATTAATTGTTAATGCTGATGCAATGGTGGCTGTTACTGGCACTGGCAATTGTGGCACTAATGGATGTATCCTTGGTCGGCTCCCCATCCTAGCACGCTCTGCACCAGGTCCTAATAAAGCTCCCACTGGTTTTTCTGCTGCTACTTCTGGTGCTACAGAGTCTTCCTGATCCTGCTCTATATGGTCCATTTTATCTGGGCTTTCATTCTGGAAGCCATCAACTGTTGTCCGGCTCTTAATTGGACTTTTGGGCACTAGGATTTTAATACCTGATTTTGCAAGGTCCATATTTTTCCTTCCAGAAAGAGATGGTGAATTGTTTTTCCGGAACTTCTGGGTGGCAGAAAAGAGTTGATTATTTTTTGATTCGTGGTCTTTACCCATAACTAAAGATTTAGTAGATGTCTTTGAAAAAGAACTATTGGTAGATCTAGAAATTTGTTTTCTGGCATTATTTGGAGAGGTCCTGTTTGTCCTCGTTAATGTGCTTTCTTTCTGCTTTTCATTGTGGCGTCTGTTAAATTCATGTATATATTCCTCACAATTTACAAGGTGCTGTTCTGGCTCCCAGGTATCATCTTCACTGTCGTATCCTTTCCATCGCACCAAATACTCTGTTTTTCCCTTCTTGTTTTTCCTCTTGTCAACAATTCTCTCTACCTGTTAAAAAGAAAAATTAAACATTAGACATGGGCAGATATACAGCTCAAGTGAGCAATGCACATGCAAATAATTTGTTAAGTGTAGGTAGGATTTTAAAACACTCTTGCAGTTTAGTAATTCTGTATTGTAGCTCTATGGCTTACAGTCTTTTGCTGCCGGCTAGAAAATCTTCTCTTTAAATTTCAAATTGATACCTCCATCTCATAAAAGATTTTCTAGAAGATCAAAATTGTTCTTCAGTAAGTATTTCACATGCACAAGTATCTGAATCTAACACATTACAGCTGACAATCAGCACTGGCCCTAGCGAAGTTTTGACACCAACTACAACATGGATAGGATTTCCCTCTCTGAAAATAGAGAACATATTTAAATATGCTGTATAAACACAGTGTGTTTACTTTGCAAAACTTATCAATTTAATATTGTTTGAGTAATTTGCTTGTTTAGCATAAGGCATATGCAAGAACCTCTTACTTACAGGGAGCTATCTTTTAGCTACCAGGGACAGTATGGTACAGCTCAGAAATTGGGTCAAATAAAAAAAAAAAAGGCAGCTTCTCTAAGAGGCTGTTCTTCTTGTGAAAACAGAGAACCTGTTTCGGCCAGAGTTGTTGATACACATACTTGAACAAATTACCATGCCTCACTTATCTGCAAATAGAGATGATATTTATGTCACAAGTATTAAGCATGCACATGCTACAACTGCACGTGGGACCCACAGGCTGGAGGAATTCAGGCACTGGGGTAAGGCAGACAGGGCAGACAGCAGCAGCTGCAAGCACAGAGGCTCATGCCTCGTACCAAAATTCATGCCAGTCATGCTAATCCTGCAGAAAGGGAATTCTTTTACAGAAAGAGATGTAAATGCAAGGCTAGTCTTAGGATTTCCCCTTTTTATTTAATTTTTCCTACCCAGGCTGATCCTTCTGGTAAATCCTTCAGCCCACTTCATTTCAGTTATGGGACCAATACAGCCTTCTTTGCCAATCTCTAGCTTCCTTTTCATTATAAAAAAAAAAAAAAAAAAAAAAAAAAAGATGGAGAGACAGATTGGACTATCACTTATTATTTAACTCCTAGCCCCCCATGAAGAAAGACCATGCATGTAAACTAAGGTTACATGTACCTAGGAGAACTTCTGAAGACCAGTGACATTTACTGGAGTTGCATTAACCGAATAGAACATCTGCAGAACAGCTTGGAAGGATGGAAGGAAAATATGGGTATGTATGTTGTACATATATGGTATACAAAATATGGCATATGATTCATTACCAATTCATATGACTGTTGACAACAGATTCTGTTAAGAGTGCACCTCAGTTTTATATGGCATGTTATCATAATGTACCGCCTGGTTTTCAACAGTGAGATTAAATGATTCCTATTATTATAATCTCAGCAGCAATATAACTACATATCCTACATGTGATACCCTGCAGGTATTGTACTATGCTGTCCTGTCATAAGAATGTTGCACAGCTGTTTGAATAGGTCTTAAAAAAACGAACTAAAACAACACACAAACTAACTCCACCTTTAGCTTGTTACTCAGTCATACAAGGCATTTTTTCGTAGAGTAATACAATATGAATTGTCCAAATACCATCTAAAGTGTTAATACAACTATTTTTATTCTGTTTATTTCACTTCTTAGTTTCATTTTTCTAGCTGCATGTTTAAGTCCAGTAACTGTACTATTGTTTTTCCATAAAATGGTATTTAATGTCATAACACAAATGTTATCCCAAGTAAGAAAGTCATTACAGAGAAATATGCCTTCAATTTTTTTTAATAGAGACTGATTAACAAGGCCCTCAAGTATTAAGCCAGAAATGTTAAATTAAAAAATAAAAACAAACTCATGAACCAAACTTGATATATTGTCAAAAGAGAGTTATTACTGTAGTCTTGCTTATCCTCTCTCTCAACCTTCTAAAATAGATTTTAAAAACACGATTCTCAGAAAAAGATCTCTACTACTAGCAGAGTATTTTTATTTTCTATCAGGAAATCTTTGTAACAAACAGCATCGATTACTAGGCACAAAGTTCTACTAGCATCTTTCAATATTGAAAGGCCACCCATTAAGGACATGCTCTTTTTGAAGTAGGAAGCCATCCCTCTCATCCAAAAAACTAGACACCTTGCAGAGATAACAGATGAACTCTAGAACAGGAGATGCAAAAATCCATTCCCAACCCGATGATTTATAGAGCAAACAGAAATGCATAAAAAACCCCATTATATTTAGCTGTATTGTCCAAGTCTGCAACAAAGCCTACTTTGACATTGCTTTTTTTGATTAAAAGGAGACTTTTTTCCTAACCCTTTAATTCTTTTTGAAGATATTTCAATTTTATTTACTGCACAAAAATTATAGCAATTAACCTCTGATACACAGTTTATCATGTGGCTTCAGAGCTTTAGTGAGGGACTTTTTGGACTGCTCCAGCTTGATTAATCTAACTCCTCTAGGACCACTTGAAAAACTGCTCAGGAATTTTCTGCTTCAGTACTTTTGATGGTGGTAACAACTACATATATTTTTCTTATTCAGATTTGGGAAAAGAATCTGGAGTTCATCCACAATGTACAAAGGGTTTGCGTATAGAACAGGAATAGGAATATTCATCCTGAACCAGTGGCATACTTAAAACTTGATTTCATGGCAAAAACAGAGACCACAAACTTGTTCTTTTCCTCTTTTGCAACTGAAAAAGAAAGCTTAGTCATCCGTTTTTCTACTTTGATATAGAGCACTCACTGAACATGAAATATAACACAAGAGATCTCAAAGTCTTATGTTAGAAGATAGTAACAACTTATATCCAAAAAGAACATGACTGGGTGGGGAAAAAACGTCTACGTTCCTACTTCCTGACACATCAGTTACGGCTAGGTAACATCCACACAGGCAGCACTGCTTCTCCCCCTGTTATTGTTACCCTGGAGCTAAGCTGGTGCTTTTCTGATCTTATGCTCGGGTTATTTCAGAGTTCAAAACTGGCAGAGTGCCCCTAGGCACCAGGGTAAGAGCTAGACCACATCCTTAGCCATGATCAGCCAGAAATGCTGGTGACAACTAGTTCGTGCCAACTACCGTTTCTACAGTGTCTACTGCCTTCTGCCACAGGGTAATATTTATTTTTAGTAATTAAAAGGTTCTGTACTGCCAGGATTTGCTGCTAATGATTAGTTTAAGTGTTGTGAAAGAATCAAAACAAAACGGAAAATTATATAAAAAGGAAAAAGATAAAACAAGTGTGAGCAGTTATGAGGCAGACTATCTGGGTGGCAAGCATGTTAAAATAAACTGGGAGATATAATCGCTTTCCTCACTTGGAGTACTGATCAATGACACTCAAAAACCCAGCCTGCAGAAAACCTGACAGAAAAACAATGCACTGCTCAAATGTGTAATCCAATAGTGGAGTGCCCAAATTACAATCCCACACACCATAATTATATCTGAGATTTCTTGTCTGTAAAACAGTAAATATCCCTTCTTTCCATCAGTGTGGCGGGAATCAGTTGATGTTTGCTTTCTCTCCCTGAAGAAGCAGATACTTTGATTTTAATTGCTTTCATTAACAAAATATACCATATTTATAGTTTGGGTTTTTTTTGTTTTTTTTTTTTTAAATGGACAAGAACAAGGTATGGTTGCAGGCCAAAGTGCTGTTTGGCTACAGCTGTGCCAGGTGAAAACAGCAACACTGCAACTGCTCCTCTGCATCCTGTGCTCTGAGACAACAGCTCCTCCCCATCTGTCAGCACAACTTCTTGTTTAATTATTCCCTGATGTAGTTGTGTCAAAGTGACCTGGTTTAGTTATTAAGAATACCTCAGCTAATATAGGCATCCTGAAATAACTGGTTTGGAGAGCTGCCACATATGCGGTATTTTCTGACACATCTAAGAGGACTGCAACTTCCAGCAGAGGACAACACACACCTATGGGCAGGACAGGTACAGTAACCTCTTCGTTCTTCTACGGCCAGAAAAAGGACATGCAATCTTAATCCACAGTGAAAGATTTTCAGTTCAGATCAATCAAAGCAAGGATGAAATTAAAGAGCACGTTCTCAGTCTAAAGCATTGTAATTAGGGCACATTCATAAACTCTATAAGGCATACTCTGTGTGTGTGTAAGTATATATGTTTTATATATATAAAAAGATCATACTTTAAAAGAAGATTTGATGAGAATAAACTAAAGGTTCAGCTGTTGGAGAATTACAAAAAGCAGAATGAGCAAAACAAATATATAAGTAGAATTGCAAATATTCAGTGAGCACTGCCTCGTTTATCAAAATCCATTTTCCATTCCCATGATGTTCCTCTGTCCTCACATTCATGTCAGGCTAAATTAAAGTTAACACAATAGAATCTATCTGACTTCATATTCTATCTGTTGTCTATAAAATATAGGAGAAGGCCTTGTTCTGTTAGCTGAAGGCTATGTTTACAATATTGGTTTGGTTCAGAGCAATAGTGCAATTTAGAAGTAAATCCTTCTCCCCTCTGCACTATTCCCACTTACTGAGCAATGGTTTTGGTCATTGACCAGTTTTTGTATATGTGATGTGGATTCTTATGAAAAATATAAACTTGAAATGGTGTTACCAATGCTATAGTGTTATCTGTCTTACTTCAACCCCTAAGGTGTCACACCAGCCCAAGCAAATAACAGCTCTGAAGAGTTCCAACACATGTTGTGGCATGGATATTTGAACCCGAGAGGTTCCACTAAATCTAGTTAAAAAAAAAAAAAAGTGCTGCATAGCAGAATATGTATATATGGGGGTTGCAGCACCAAATGCTTCACTCTACTGATTTCCTCCAATTGAGCCAAATTACTATCGTAGACATTTCCCAATTCAGAGACTGAAGCTGGAATAGCATATGCTACATGTTGAACAGTCACCCTTGGTTAAATTGGAAACTGTTCCATGTACAAATGGGACCTAAATGATCATCCATAAGCA